GCACGGATGGATTGGGATTGGGGTTCTCCGGGCTTGATGAGGGGTGCGAGGGGGATGCTCCCTCTGCGCGGCTCCAAACAAGCACGCAGTTGCGCTGTGCAATCATCAACGACAACTCCAATCTGACGGAGAGAGGTAAAACAAAAACAACCCCCCACCCCCTAAAAAGAGAGAAAAAACTGTCACCATTTCCTGTCACACCGTTTCCAGCGCATAATTATTAAAATCATGTCGTTCCAGCTGGTGCAACACTACACGCTGTACGAGCTGAACGTCCGCTACTACATCCTGATGCTGATCCCCTTCGTGCTGGCCATGGGCCTGGTGCGGGACCTCAAGTGGCTGGTGCCGCTGTCGCACACCAGCAACACGCTGTTCCTCGCCGGGCTCAGCATCACCATGTACTACGTGCTCAAGGACGCGCCCAGCCCGCTGACCGCGCGCCAGACCGGCACCCTGGGCGACTACCCGCTCTTCCTCAGCGCCATGATCTACGGCATGGAGAACATCGGCGTGGTGAGTAGTACTAGCGCTACGCGAAGAAACATGTCTTACCGCGTGCGTGCAGCAGTTGGCCAGACTTTTACACTCTTCTGCCGTGAAGCGGGATAAGGGGGTAAGTCCACTTAGCACTTTTACCGTTTAATCGTCTGTCACTGCCGTTTGTTGTACAGGATCCGCGCCGTCTTTTTAAAATGCTTATACTGTACCGGATTCACCCGTCCTCACGTAAGAATCCGGTACAGTATAAGTATTTAAAAAAGACGGCGCGGATCACCCACCCTGTATAGCAAGTTCCTAGAGTCCTCCTGGGGAGTTAACTCGTATTTTGTGAACTTCCGTTGTACCAGACGGCAGTGACAGACGATTAAAATGTCATGGTGCTTGTGCTTGTAAGTGAACTTACCCACTTCTTCGCAGCAGAAATGTAACGGGACAGTTTTGTTCCTGAAGAGACAACGTTTTCGTGCACGTCCAAACTGCAGATGCGATGTTGTTCCTAAAACTAGACTAATTGTGTAAAGTTTTAAACGGTTTTTACGAATTGAGGAGAAAAATTGCTTCCGATCTAGATGTGACGAAAAAGTTTCATTTACAAAAACAAAACTGGCCCTGAAATTGTCCCTTCCCATTTATAGTGTGTCACACTTATTGGCGATCGTTCCACACACACAAGCACTAGCACACACCTGTACGATTTTCAACTCTGTGACTCTCCGTCTCTTTGCTCGGGTCACGGTACAATCATCTTAATTGCTGTCCCCTTCCTTCGTTCCCTTCTCTTCCCCATGACCCGAGTGTTCACATCTCCTCCGTCTCACCCGCCGCACTGCCCCCTCCCCC